GTGTGTGTGTGTGTGTGATGATAGTTAAAAAACTTAAAACTATCTACAATATCCAGAAATATATTTATTTTTTAATATTTGTTATATGTTGATCTAGTAACAGTAAATTAAATTTCTAATATAATAAGATGCGTACTTTAATATTAGACTGCAAAACTAATTTTTAAGCAATTTCTCAATTTTTTTACATATTTTTATGTATTATATAATAAAAAAGTATTTCAAAAATATTTAGTGCACAGTTAATATTATATTTCACGAACAAAATAATTAACATTTAAATATCAAGATATAATAACATTACATATCGTTTATCAACAATTAGTAAAATCTATATAAAATAATATATTTTGCGTTCACGTGCTATTTGTATATATCGTTATTTTACGGCAATAATTATTTATAATGTATTCATATACATATAATTTAATCAATAAGTATAATGCTAATCGATAATGAAAGCTTTTTATAGTTCTACTATGTTTATTACAAATCATATTGCTAGTAACGTAAGAGGGATTAAAAAATCGAGCTGCGTTATTTTCGTGTAGTTATCTTGTGCTAGTCTATAAATGCGAAGTGTTCTATCAGTTATATCCTAATAAGATATTAGTTTTCTTCAGAAAGAAAACCCGTGGTGTAATATGCGATGTTTCAACTCTTTTATTAATGTATGAATGATTAAAAATTGGATGCCACAGACGTTCGAGCGGATTTCTAGATAAGCGTATATAAGAAAATGTGTAAATATATTGTAGAGCAAGTAAAATCAATATTGCGGTACACATATGTAATTATATTATTATGGACTTGTTCCTATATATATAAATACATATATATATATATAAAAATTAAAAAATGAAAGTTAACTGTGTGTGATTCTCTATCTTTCTAAAAATTTTGATATTGTAGAAAGACAGAAAATGTGCATTAAACTTTATTTCCATCATTTGTAAAACTGTCATATATGAAACAATAAAGATACTAAATAATACTATTGATGCATTGAAAAGAATACTCATTCAGTTTAATATTTTTCGCATCTACACATATTTTCATCATTAATTCATTTATCGCAACCGATACATGAAAAAAGGATAAATAAATTTTATTAAATTTAGACCTTTTAATTGTATGTGATAAATACATCTTTTATATGTATATCACAATGTGTTATGTACAAAAAAAATTCATGAATATTTCTTTTTATTTATACTCTTTTAAATATTTATGTGCTATATACACGTTTCTGTATTTTAGCATAAATTTCTAATATATTAAAATGAATATTTAAAGTATCAGATGATTTATTATATATTATGGAAAAAGATACGTATGAAAGATGGAGAAGATATATGTATGTATGTATGTGTGTGTGTGTGTGTGTGTGTGTGTGTGCGGAAAAGAATAATATATACATAAGATTGTTTGCCTATTGTTGAATGTTTAGTCAATTATTATGACTATTACTCATGCGCCTGAATTTTAATTGCTTGTAATTAAACTGTATGTCTGTAAATACGAAAGTAATGCACATTGCGTATAATGAATTAGTGGAAGAATAAAGTTGCCAAAAAATTCGTTGTATATACATTATATGTACAACTATGTACAATGACTTTTCCTTAACTTATGCCAATTAATATGTTGTTTAGAAATAATCTTTAAACACTATGCATCGAAAAGATCATAGAAGTTTTGCTATGAAAAGAATGAATTAACTTATGATTTAAATGCCGACATTCTATGTGTGTGTGAATATATCTAAATAAAATTACTTTAATGAATTGTACATAGAGAATATATTAAAATAGGATAAGTGTGCTAAAAAATATATAAATAGGTGATATATAAAAATTTGAAAGATATATATAATTTAAAGTATTAAACGAAATCGTATTTTTAATTTTATTCATTATAAGGAAAATATATTTATATAAAATGATTAGGATTCCATTGATAAGCTTTCTAAAAGTGTAGAGATATTAAATGCTTCCTTGAAAGAGGATAACTTTCTCGCAGCCGCTTGCTTATTTAAGCTCATAGCGGCGAGTTTAAGTTTGTTTCTCCATTCTTTCGAATCATGTTTCTCTATAGAGCACATAACGATCTCGTTTACTTCATCTTGAATGGCGTAACAGGCGAGCGATTGAAATATCGAGTTTAGGTCATCCTTTGCTTTCTGTTTTAAATTCTTATCTCTGCTGACCAGATTCAAGATAAAAAGACCGTCCTTCGTTAAGCATGTTGCAACTGCTTTCAGTACTGATAGTTCAAGAAATTGTTTAGGCGGACAACTCATTCCGACAGTAGTATCTTTACTATCAATATCAAAGAGTATTGCTTTATATTTTTTTTCACATGCTGCGGCATCTTTAATAAATCGGATTCCATCCGCGATTTCTACTTTCATCCTGTCATCAAGAATAAGACTGAAATATTCGGTGGCCATTTTCAGCATCGCATTGTCGATTTCAACTGCAGTAATTTTTAACTGAAAGAAAAGAAAAATTTTGATTTATTTTCGATTTACGAAAAAAATACACTTAGATTTTTTAAATGTGTAGCGCTTGATCTGACAATAATAAATTTCACGTGTAGATACATACTTTGGGGAAACAATGATGTAAGAACATGCAAAGACCACCACCCCCAAGTCCTATAATCATAATTTCCTGCTGTTCTTTTATATCTATCACTGCATTTACGCCAGCGCTCATATGAATGTGATGTTCACAAGCTAGAAATCCAGGATCGGCAATTTTTTTCGTTTTACCACGTCTAGACTTTGCTATAAATAATTGTGTTATTAGTTATATACAATGATTAATATAATAATTATAGAATTTTTGAATTTATTGTGAATCATAGTACCTTCTTTCAGTCTAGCCTCACTTTGAATAACATATGGATTGTTCAGGAATACAAGACGTCTGAATTCGTGACCATCCTTCTCCACTTCTTCGACAACGAATGGCCCACTAATGTCACTCTTCCCTTCGTAACAAGTAGTTCGAGCTCCAACGTCGGAACCCAATGACAAAAAGGGAATATCATTTTTACCACACAAGCCGGCCGGTGCTAGATTGCGTACGCAGTCTTCTAATTCGGTTTTCACAGCGTCCCAATTTTCGAATTTATGTTCTCTGCGTAAAGTAACTATTGCGAGTCTATCACGTTGCGCGCTCTTTAGAACTTGCTGTCGTCCTTCCTTGGTACTGAACAACCAGTCCATTTCTCTGTTAAATAAAAAAAGAATGGGTCAGTATAATTTTGTAATTTACAGTCGACAAGTTTACATTTTAAAAGTATCGAACGTACTTTCCCTGTGGAACGATAAACGCCGCATACGTTTTTGCTCCGCGTATACGTGGTTGATCCAGAATATAAACGGTATATCGCGGATGCTTGTCACCTGGACGATGTAAATCCAACGATATTTCCCCTACATCGGCAACGCTTCTCTTGTAAAGACTACTGCACACCAATGCCGATTGTTGTGCGGACAATATCGCGGATACCATATCATCTGTTGAAGATAATCGTTCAGGTGGACCATCGACCAGAGCTAATTCAAGAACCTATCGGGATTATAATCTACAAAAATAAGTTCGACGAACTGCTCACCCAGCTAAAGCTAAGATGACAATATGACAAGCTTTAATGCTCTTATATTACAACGTACGGTCTGGGATAATTTAGTGAACTTGGTAGCGATGACCACAAAAATTGGTACCAAACTGCCCTCCTCTAAACGTGCCTTCGATTCAGCTTCGTGGCATCGTGATATGCGGAACATGAAACCCGAAGCAGGAAAGTAAGATAAGAGCTTTCGCAGGATGTGCTCCTGTAGCAATGATATACAAATATATCTGCCACCATTTCGTAACACTCGCGTGATCTCCTAAAATAGAAGTTTTACTTGTAAAAATAAAAATTATAAAATATTTCCCCTTCTATAGTAATCAGAAACTTACTTTAAAATATTTATCAATTGTAGATATAGTTGTCTCTTTGGCATCTGGCATTAAAGCATCTAATGTACCTTTATCAAGAATTACACTGAATTTTTCATCAGTATACGTCATTTTCGTGGCATCCATATGTTCATATATCAAGTCTGGTCTTGTACTATTATTTATATCACGCATTTGTTTGATAACGATATGTGATATATCGATATTAATGATATTTCTGTAAAAACCAATTGTAGCATTTACAATATAAATGTTAATTTATATGAATCAATTAATTTAACCATATTGTGATTATATATATATATATACATGTATTGCAAAGAGAATATATACAAGATTTACCTATAACCAACATCGTACAGAGACATGCTCAGTGTAGAATTTCCGCAACCAACAATCAAAATATCATCCTTTATTTTGACATATTTTAAAAGTATCTCGCATAATTCTGGATATTCACCGTACCTGAAGCCAGACAGAAATAGTCAGAGAGAGTATAACAAGTTATAATTATATATTCAAAACACTGTCAACAATGTAATTATAGGACTTGTACCATTCAAACACTTTTTTGCCACGTTTTTTGAAGAATGTGTTCCAATAATCTGCATGACTGAATTCTTCGTGCGTTTTTGGTAAGAGATTCATATTTTATATTAGTAGTTAACGCAATGTATATATGTTTCGTTGTGTTTAAACGTAAAAATATAATACGTTCGGGGTTATATTTTAATACAACATAGATTAAATTCTAATGTATATAGAGCATTATTATAGAGTATTATTATATAAAGTATTATTACACCCTACAATTTTGAATATATAGAAAAATGATTATAGAATAAATTATATTCTAAACTTGCACAAACTCGAAAACATTGTCACATTTATTTTTTATAACATTTTCTGTTCGGTTTTTTGCAGAAAATATGACATCACGTGTACTGTATTGTGTACTTCCTATAATCCTATATGCATTTTTCAATTTCCCAAGAATTAGGAATAAACTAATTACGACATCTCTGTAAGGTAATGCAAAGTAATTATCGACAGATTGATTATCGACGAAGTAAACTGATTTGTATCTCCGCTAGATGGCCTTGCATTTCCATCAAGAAAGCACGCATTTCCGGTTTCCCGAGAGTCGAGTCTGGTCGAGTTTTCGTCGAGTGGGATTTGAATCTCTGCTAATCTGTTCATCAAGCGTAAGTTTTTCATTTGTTATCACGATATATTGTCGATAGTTCGATATTTCAATATTATTATCGTGTATATTATAAATTTTGCCGCGAAAATAACTACATTCCTTTTCTAGGAGGAGACGCGAATATGTGGCGAGTTTATGGCGCCAACGGAAATTCAAATGGGTCACATCAAAGTAAGTGCTATAATATCCACATCATTAAACGGGATTGTGTCTAATTCCGTGTATTTTTCGTCTAAACGATGTGTAGCTTAATGTTCTTTCTTACATTTGTTATTCATATTTTGTGTACAAATTAAACATATAGTATATATATGTTGACTAAATGTAGACTATTATATTTTATTTTATGTGTGAACGCGCATATAATTCACAGGTATTTGCTCGCTTTGTAGATTATCTTTTGATTATTTTTCGTTAGAACGTATACCTTGATTAGAAATGACGTTTAATTTATCAACTTGTGATTTGAATTATGCTATGACAATATCATCGAAATCTAATAAGAAATAACGCTAATTGTACCTAACCACTTATATTCAACTTTTGGACGTTTTTTTGGCTCTTATACTTTCACCACCATGTTAGTCGAATTTACTTGATGTCCAGTCGTTCTTGCGACTTGCGACAAATCGTGATGCGATTTGTAAGAGTACCGAGTATCATTCAACTGCGGTGAAAGCGTCAATCATTCGGATATTATTCGGCATCATGATTTTTCTTTTTAAGAAAGATTACAATATACATACACACATATATGAAAGAAAGAACAAGTGATTTTTATGTAAATGCATATTGTACGTGTGTACAATATAAGTGAACGTTTAATATTATCTGAATTTATTAACCTACAAAAAATTTTCATATATATGAATGTAATTTTTCTTAAATTTTATATTATCGAAATTCTGAAATCTCAAAAGAAAGATCGTGATATCGAATGATATCTGAATATTTAGGTATTGCATATATATACATATATATATATAATATATTTGAAATGTAAATATTTTTTCTTAAAAAAAGTAATGCGATTGCATATTATAATATATCAGACTGACACCTTATTATTGACATATCGTTTCATCTATTAAACATTATCTTGTCAACGCAGCAACAATATTTTATATTTGTTACATTGCCATGCGCATCCAATATGATAAAACATATAATCTATTATATATTATACACGTATATAATACATTTTTGAATATAATAGTATAATTTTTTTACACATATATAGAATACATTTTCTTAATTCTCTAACGCGATTTTCACTCAGAACATTCTATCTAATTAAAGAAATTCGCATCACGCAAATTTCTCCCGGCGAGCGTATATAAAGCGTAATAAAAGAGCGATGGGCGCGATCAAAAAAAATATAATATCTATACGGAAAAAGAAATAAAAGTATTTCTGTGAAAAAAAAAACAATAAAAGTAGAACTTTATATCGTTATCTGCATCGGTCATACTCGATAATTTTTCCGCTATGACAGACGCGCGCAAACGCATTCCCAACGCAAAAGACATATAACAATGCATATCGTTTCAGCTTTTATATCGAAATAACTCGATCGTATAAGTCTTCCTCGGAACACGTGTACGCATACCACACGAGCGCTCTTCGTTAATACATGGTCGACGACGTGCGATAAAGCGATGCCGCCGTACATTGTCGTCTTCGTCGTCGTACCTGAAAAGCGTTTGTGAAACATTAAAAGCCGCGATATGCGACGTTGTCGCCTAATGACGCCCCTCGAGACGCTGCCAGCAACGATAATTATTGCGCGACGGCTTTATTGACTGTACACCGGAGAATACACTTTCCTCGTTTCTTGCCACGTAGTATGTTATAATTCTGCGCGATGCGACGACGTCACTTTGTTAATGTCGCATAGGGAATACGCGATAATGTGCGCGACGAGGACGACGGTTCAACGGAACCATTGCTCGTTTATATACCGCGTATTATAATTTAGTATTTAGATACATCAATATCTCGCATTTATAATATCCGGTTTGCCTTTCAATTTTATCAATTTTCATATAAAAAATGATGGTTTGAAATTTTCATATTTTGTTTACTATATCCTAATATCGTACATTGCTTAAAAAAAAAATTGGGTATAGAGTTACAATAATGCCTTCCAATATATGTGACATTAAATTCAAAATTAATATCAGGTATAAGGCTATCAACACTACAGCGGAAAATACGAAAATATTTTCTGTAACTACAATTAATAAGAGATCATTTCGTATAAAAATACAGTTATTTGTATCCAAATTTTGATTATCAACAGTTTGTAAGAAAATATTCCGATACCGCGTATAGTAGAATTGTTAAAGGTGAGAATAATTATATTATTTTTTAATCTTCCTTTTATTTAAACAAAATAAAGAAAAAAATTTGATAATAAATGAGCATTAAATATTCATAACATAAATATATTTTCGAGCAGTCTATACACATAAATCTTTCTCGATATTCGGTTTTTTTATAAATGAAATATATTTGTCATTATGCAATTATATATAATCATATTTTATATTGTTTAATATAAAATTAATTAATCTTTAGCTTAAAAGCTATAATTCTTTCGATTTCGATTTTCTAATGACTATGACGCGAACTTTTTTACACATCAATATATTCTCAGAAAATTCAGAAGAAGCTTGAATATGTTTGAATAATTTAGAACTCTCTGAATAGAATAAACAAGAATGATGATGCAAATTGATAAGATCGCAGCCATTGTAAGGTAATCGCGTTATAGGAGCGTTTTTATTAAAACCGCCATATTGACCTTATATACTTCTTAACTCATTTGTATCATTGTCCCCATTTAGGATGTCTCATATAAGGACTTGTAGATTTTACATAGTCACTTATCTTCGTGTAATTTCATGTTTTTTTTCATTCCTCTCTCTTTCTCTCTCTCTCTCTCTAAGACAATCAAAATTATCATGTTCATCTTTAAAAAGAACCTTTTTAAAATCTTTTAAAAGAAAAACAAAGCGCAAAGTAAAGAACGAATGCCACGAAAACCTATATGTACCCCTTAAGTGATTAATACAGAAAATACATATATGATCTTAATGTATTGGATTACGAAACAATTTACAATTAATTAAGCTCCACGCGTTCTATCATTTGAGAGCTATCGTCGGAAGTATCAGAAATTGCCCCACAGGTGTTGCCATTGATTCCCGTTGGGAAATTAACTGCAACGCGAGCAATTTGCATCACGCAGAAGTCAGGTGCTCATTGACGTTTCGCGCGATATATTGTAATTCATGCACGTTTTATCCACCGCTTTTCGAAAGAGACATAAACGAGCGTGCGCGCAGATAAAGTAAATGTACATAAAAATTTCACAAAAATTTCACGATAATTGCAGCGAAAGTGTTATCCATAGGTTGCATGTAGCTTTGCACGTATTTTTGTAAGCCAGAAATTGTGGTGCTATTTAAAGGCGCACGGAGTCTATCATTATTTTGTATGTCGGGTTCGCGAATTGAATTCAATAATATTGCGTGTTGCATGAATCATGTTTCAAAATTAAATGGCACGGCTTCGACTTTTTATTTGATTTGTTATACATACATGCTCGTTGCTACCTGCCAAATATTTCTCAATTTTAACAATATTCGTGAAGAAAACAAAAATCTAATTAATAGATATCTTTTGACACCCACACGTTTACCGATATTTTATCATTTACATTAAATTATTCGATGGTATTTTAATTAAGTAGTTGAAAATATTTTATAAAATGCTATGATAGAGAGTAAGTCAAGATCGAGTTTTTACGATTGTATATCAACTATTTTTTTTTTACTGACGTGGAAAATATTTTTTCTTCTCTACATGGTAACTTTACCATTATTAGTACTCTGAAAAAGTAATGAGAAATGACTTCAAGAGGAAACTATCAACAGTTCGATAACGTTTACATCGGTCACGTTTACATTGCGCAATAGCAATAAATACTCAGATGTTTATCATAAATTCATTGATTATACAAATAAATATACAAATATATTAATTTTTAACTATTAAAACAATTAACGTTAAGTAAAATTCTAAAAAATAATATTTTACCGAATCATCGCTAAGCTATCACAAAGTCATTATATACAAATATAACGCGTTTATACAATATTTCGCGCTTTTTATAAACTATAACAGCCTTATAATCGCCTATTTATCACGAAGCAATGATAAGAGTCTCTCTTGTGCCATACTATTGGTATAATTATTCAGGCAAATTCATTGTTGAGCTACTAAAGAACATAACGTCAAAAAACTAATTAAAGAATCTGCTCTTATGAAATATGTGTAACTTTTCATACATTATGCACGCATTATTTGATAAAGTGCATTTTGATCGTTCTTAATTTTTAATGAGAAATCAGGTGCAAACGATACAGGATGCGAAATCGACTGAAATGAGAGCATGCACATAATTGACTCGAAAGCGTAATCGATAATCTACTGTACAAATATTCGTATATATATATATGTAGTATATACGTACATACGGATATATGTATACGTGAAATGATACGGAAGCAAAAGAAACATCAGGTGAGATAGAGGGGCGTGAGATACATTCACAGGAAATGTGAATGCGACACATAAATATGTACACACATATAAAACCGAAGACACGTCCTTAATCCGCGGATTTAATTATGACACCGATTCATGTGCCAGAAAAGCTTGATGTAAATCGCGAGAAGTAATCGCGATTGCTCTGTAAGTAGCGCTCAAGTTTATGGAACTGCTAATGTGTGTACAAGTATTTATATTGTGCGGCATGTACTGGATATATGTGGAGCAATGGCATTAGAAGTTTGACGTATGAGTTACATATTTTAATATGAAAATTTAAAATATTAATGTTTGATAGTTAATTGTACAAGTTTATGATGGAATTTTTGAGTCTTGTGCATCTAAGCAAAAAATTTATATTTTCAAAATTTAAATCTATTTAAATCAGTTTTTCAATATTAATTTTGTTGTACTAACATTTTGTAATTAAAGTGCACATTTATATCTGACATACAAATACAGCTAGCAAATGGTTTGATACACTTCGTAATTTCATACGAGCAATCTTCTTTTTAAGAATGTGCTTGATTCACGAGACGCAGATATCTCGACGTACCGTGTAATTTTGCGAGACTTAAACGCGGTTACTGGGTTTTCGCGTTGAATCTGTTCGAGGACAAGCATCTGCATTTTTCATGAGAATCATTATTCGCTCAAAAGTCGCCGTCAAAATTAAAACGAAGGGAGAAAGAGAGAAAAGAGGAGAGAAAATATATATACGATCAAAAATGTCGATGTGGAATTTTTGATAATCATAAATGCGGTTCAGTAAATCGTTCAGATTTATCTGAACCCTTCGAGCTCTGCTCATTGAAACGACTTGAGTGAATTTATGTCTTTCTAGAAACACACGCGCGCGCGCACACACACACACACACACACACACACACACACACACACACACACACACACACACACACACACACACACACACACACACACACACACACACACACACACACACACACACACACACACACACACACACACACACACACACACACACACACACACACACACACACACACACACACACACACACACACACACACACACACACACACACACACACACACACACACACACACACACACACACACACACACACACACACACACACACACACACACACACACACACACACACACACACACACACACACACACACACACACACACACACACACACACACACACACACACACACACACACACACACACACACACACACACACACACACACACACACACACACACACACACACACACACACACACACACACACACACACACACACACACACACACACACACACACACACACACACACACACACACACACACACACACACACACACACACACACACACACACACACACACACACACACACACACACACACACACACACACACACACACACACACACACACACACACACACACACACACACACACACACACACACACACACACACACACACACACACACACACACACACACACACACACACACACACACACACACACACACACACACACACACACACACACACACACAC